TCCTTGTGCAGGGGCCATGCTAATCTTCTCTGTATCGTTCCAATTTTAACGTATGCACCGCCGAAGCGGGCGGGAGAGTTACTTCTATGACTACTATATAGCATACAGGGAAGGTCAGCGGTTCGATCCTGGCTCGTAGACTTGCTGGACACTGGTGCTGAGCGCTGGCTAGCAAATTGATTGCCCCCGTTGTCCCCGATGGTCTTCTCCGGGGAATATGCCTCTGATACATATGTTTTGCATGGTCCCATCGGCCAGTGTATATGTAGTAAATATGTACACAAAGCCATGATGTAATAGGCCAAGAGACTCTATATGGAATACTATCCTGCACCCAAAAGAAATTTTAACAAGAGCATCCGCATTGGAGCGGTTAAATTATGTTGACCGGAGGTTTGCCTGAATCACTTGAGCGCACTGGTTGGGTTAGCTGAGCTCTTAGCCCCCGCTAACCTTCACTCACTGTTTATTTCTGATCCGCATTGGCAGTTGGCTAATTGTCAATATGTTGCTTCTGGATATCCTAATATCCCTGTAGGAAAGGAACTTGACCTGTGGCATGAGTTGACCATTGCAAATGCCAAGTGAACTTAACCTCATGTTGGCAGCCGTTAACCGGAAATGAAACTTTTGGTCAGTTAACCTGACCTTAATCTGGCTCCAATGTGTTCATAAAAGCGGTTAAATTGCCTTGGGCGATTCTCATATCTATATTCATCAAAAATAAGTCATTTCATCTTTATGTGAAGCTGAAAATTATCCTGCCTGGAGATAACTTCACATAAAAATGAAATGAATTATTTGATGAATATAGATATGAGACTTAGAAATTAATTTTTCATATGTCTGCCATGGAACTTGCAAAAGTAGGAATTTGGCCAAAGACACATGTACAACCTCCATAATTAAATTTTTAGATTTTCTGAGGACAAAAAAATGTTTTACAGTGTAATTCAGGGTACATAATCACTTCTTGAAAATTCCTAGGCCCTTTGGGGCACTCATTCA